AGCTTGAATCTCCTGCAAGGCAGAGCTGGGAGATACAAGTGGCATAGATTTGCGTAAATGCCTTCATCTAGTACATCAGAGACCTTATTCTATCAATCAAAATGAACGCGGCACAGACAGCAATGGTTGCCTTGAACAAAAAACAGGAACAGGGCAAAGCACCGTGCATCCTGTACCACAAAGCCGCGTGGCTCAACTTACTGCCAGCGTCTGCAAATGTGAGCCGAAAAATGGAGAAAACCCATGCCTGCACCATGAGAGCTCCCGCTTTGAGAACAGCCTTAGAAATCTACCTACGTTGCAGCAGAAAAAGACTGACTTTGCAGGACATTGGCATTATCCCATGAAAAGCAAGAAACAGAGAAGGTGGTGTGGCTCTGTTCTGAGCCATGGTCAGTCTGTGCTAAGAGACTATCATCAGATCCAGTCCTAAGATTTTTTAAAAATCACTCACGCTTGCATGGTCTGTCATTTCTGGTTTCTACTGCCCGTCATTTCTCTTTCAACAATCTACCTGTGATAATGAAAATGAACAATAAAAACCACAAGAGATGGCTAGACTTTAAGGTCTCCCTTAGAACTTGAACATTTTTACAACCGGTCTCCTGTTCTCTCCTTGCCATTCAAAATTTCACAAAAAAATTATGTTTGTAGTGTAGAAATACTGCAAATCTCACATTGTAATTAGTATTGCATGCTTTTTAGTCTTCTTTCATTTTTCACAATAAAAGCTTAGATTAGCCGTTCTTATGTTACAACACTTAAATACATATGCAGGTAGTTGCTGCTGCAATGTCACACAATCAAATCCAAAACCATTAGAAACAGCCTGCTTTACAACTCGACAAAACATGCTGGATGGATTAGCCTATTTCAACCTTTTTGCAGGCTCTTACTTTTGTTGATTTATTCTCAACACACATAACTCCTTCTAAATGTGTTGCAGACCTTGTAAATTCTTTGCTTATCCCCGTGGAACTCAGCAAGGATTGCGAACGCTGTCAGTGGACCTTCACAGCCTACAGGTACAGCATAAACTCATAAAGGTCTCAGACATTCCCTGTGGTCCTTTAAGGACCACGCTTATTGTTAAGGCTTGCAATTACTGTCTACAGAGTTCAGAGGTTCACAGCTACAGTCCTCACACCACCCCTCCCAGGATTTTACCCTTCTCTGTTTCCTACACAAAAAAAACCAGTCTCTAACATTCTTTAGAAACATTTTCCTCTCTAGCAAAAATGCACGTGGCATACTGTCTGCACTCGGGGAAAGTGCAAACTCAAAACATTATTCCTTTTCCCAAAAATCTGTCCTCAGATTTCAAGCATTCGTAGATTGTTTTAAAAAGTCTTCTTTCCATTCATTCATCCATCCATCCCTTCTTTTACCATAGAAAGGGATTTTGTTTACATTTATTTTAATAATAGCAATCTTTCAACAGCAGTAACTGTACATGCCCTGAAAGCAATCTCCTAGAAATGAGTGAAAGTTAAACAGTGCAATCTTACTTGGAAAAAAGGAAAATCCACCTATGTTGCTCTAAAAAACAAACAAACAAAAAACCCAACCCCCCTATCACCAGCTCTTTCCAATAAGATTTAAAACCCTACCTTTGTCATTTGCTAGTTTTCATGTTTAAATTTGTTCAAAGAAATCAAAAGAAGAATCCTATCTTTCCACTTTTCAGAAACACTTGGAACAGCTTTCTATATATTCCCACTTCTTCTTAAGAGCTAATAAAGTGGATTAATTTTTTGAGGTCTCTAAGTAGAAGAAAAGCTGAACAGAGACTTACAAAAACCCGCTCTGAACCTCACACAAAGCTTTTATTTCACAAGCTGACTTGCAGCAGAAATGCGTTGCAAATACAACTCCAAAATTTTTTTTTCAAATCTTATCTGGGAAGGTTTTGCAAAATAGGCATCAAACAATAATTCTCTTTACACCACTAAAATTATACTTACAGATGGGAAGGAGTGGGATAGAATTTCCTTAGTGTAAATGCCGAACTGTAGTCTGCCAAACACAGCTAGGACTGAGCTGGATGTTTTAAAAGTCTAACGTTCAAAAGCTTTGGTTTTGTTGTCTGCTACAGAGTGAAATGACAAAATAAATGTCTTTTTATGGACCACACAACACACAGATTGTATCTGCACAGTCCAAACTGGGCAAGGCACAGCAGTATGATGCATTCAACCCCAGAGCTAGGTTTTTTAGCTTATTTCTCTAAGGCCCGTAATCTAAAATTGCCAGGATGGCCAAATGCCCTCGCTCTTCCCCATGCTATCTGTTTTTGCAACAAATCACAAATATCTTAAAGCTTTTAAATTTATATAGGTTTCGCCTTAATTATCAGACTTTGTTTTCTCTGTGTCCATCTAAGAAATCAAGGAGATTTTTGCAAGCTGCTGCCATAGGCTGAACACCAATGCTAGTAGCATGTCCAAAAGGCGAGCAAAGTAAAATTTGTTTTACAGGCTTTTTTTTCTTCCTTCTTCAATATTTTTGGCCTGATACCGACACGTCCTGCCAAAATCTCTCCCCACTGCACTATCATTCCATGAGCTATTTCACACCTCCCATTCGATTCTAACGTGGAGCCAAACCCTTCCAGACACCGCCGGTATCCAACGTGTGACAGAATGGAATCTTCCCCTGGACATTAGGAGAGGCCATGAGATGTCAGGGGTGAAGTATCTCCACGGTAGAAATGATGCTCAGCTGTGCGGCTCCTTCCATGCCTTTCCGTTCATTGAATCCAGATGCCACAAGTTTCTCAGCATTGTAAGTATCTGAGAGACAGAGACTAACACGCGAGAGGTGAATCACAGACTTGGGGTGGGAAGCAATTCTAGCTAGCCAGAAGAATTACTCAAAAAAAAAAAAAAAAAAAAGGAGGAAAAAAAAGGAAAAGGTGACTGATTCTATGCCCATCCTTCAAAGTGATGAGGCCAGCCCCCAGTGCTTTCATTTTAGTTTAACAACACTGAAAAAGAAGCTCACAGAACTTCTCAGCAGCTGGGCATGGTTCACAGCCTCTGGATCTACTGGACAGCAGCTCAGTTAAGCCTTGCTGTAGCATCTTCCTTAGCCAAGGCACAGAACTCACCACATTGTCCCCGCATAAATCAAATCTCTGCGCTGTATTCTCAGGAACATCCCTGCAAACCACCTGAGAGTCTGACAGAAGTGTCAGACAAGCTGCTGGACAGCTGGGCTCACTTCAGTCAGTGCACCAGCAACGCCTTGCACGCTATGCACTGGTTATTGGCTACTCCTGGGCCTTGCTCCTGCACAAACATATTCTGCAGGGTTTAAGGACACAATTAAACCTGAAGGTTTCCTGTTAGTCTTTAGAGATGCCAGTAAGGTAGGTAGAAAGATCAGAAGCGGTATGCTTCAGGGTTGGAGAAAAACTGTTCTATAAAATACTGGCATTTCTATAGGCCCACCTGAAATAGTCAGGAAAGAATACAAGGTTCATCTCTGAATTAAGCACTGCAAATGCAGTCCCAAAAGTGAGGACTTAAAACGTATCGAAATTCCAATTTCCTTAAGTCCCCTGAAAAACCTCACTCTCGATCACCGTACTGCTCTTGGCTGGGACACAGACATGTGTCCACCATTAAATTTTGCAGTGCTGCTTGTTAGCTTGGATTGCTTTTCTGAATAGTGATTATTTTGATGAAACTGGCTTCAGCTGGGTTAGAACAGTACTAGCAAAATGCCCAAACACAGGCGGTTTTAAGAGATGTTCACCTTCAGCCTCTCTTCCCTCTCCCAAAAGCACTATCTATATACACATGTATATATACACTGTGCATGTGTGTACTTGCACCCTAAGAGCCGACAACAGAGAGGAATTATCCTCTGTTTTTCTATCACACTAGTACACTGCTGTAGCTCAGCTTGTGCCAAGCTCCACCTTCAAAGCGGAGCAGGATGCTCTGCTCCCCAGCTCTCTCTGAACACACGACAGCAGTGTGCACACAGAGTTAGGGCACTGCAAATTCACAACCTGTCCCTGTGCGTGCTAATGCCACTGTGCTGGTACAACGCGACAGCAAATACTTCCTTACCCCACGCAATTCAAATGTAGGCAACACAGGTGTGCTTATTCCATACGCTTCGCTTTAGTACCTGAGAAATGTCAGCAGAATCACATAAAGAGCTTTAAAAAGAGAGACCACAGTGATTCCCATTAACGTTCAGCATAAATTGATAAGATGGACGCTCAAGAAGTGCCGAGATGAAGCACGAAAAGAACTGCTCTGTTAAGAGCAGAAAAATGACCGAACGCAGGTATTAACTCTCAATTGAATTTGTCAATGCAGTATGTCTCCTACAAACAACAATTTCACTCAACGTATTAAAATACCATAACCTATTATGTCGCGTTTTACACAGTCGCTATCCCCGTATTAGCAGACGGGGAATCTGTGGTACAAAGCGGCAGATTTATCTGCCCAAAGCATTTTGATACCACAGTAGCAGAGGCAGTGAAAGAATTTCATACCAGATGTCTGGAGACATAACTGGGAACAGATCAAGAATCCCCATCTCCTGGCTGCCAGCAGCACGCCTTGATCAACAAAAATACTGGCCGGCATCCTCCCTCCTGTACTTCCCCTGTTTATGTATCTGGTGCTTCCGTGGGTCAATGTACGCTCCCCCCACAACTGACAGGCATACGTACGCGTAGTCTAAGCATGCACGCTCGTGTCTCTAGGCTAATCGTTGTGCAGCTCTGCACAACTGTAGCGAGGATTATTTGCTTAACAGGCTCCTTTTTCTCCCCTCGACGTTCCTTTTCTTTTCGTAAAATTAGCTGGTCGCAGTACCACAGACAGCATCCTTTTGAGGACTGAGCTAGTGAAGAAGTGGAAAAACCCACACATGCCGCAGAAAAGTGTCATATCAAAATATTACGAGGCTGTGCTGCCAAACATAATGCGATACAGTCTGCAAAACGAGGTGGGGGGAGAAAATACGGCATTTACCTGACAAGAGATCTGTACAAGGTAGACCAGTTCCTTGGATTCACAGCCGTTTCTCGTTACTTCATTCTGTTCCTCCGGGAGTGAAAGCTACACCAAGGGGAGGGGGTGGAGAAAAGAGAGAGAGAGAGAAAGACCAGGTCAGTGAGCAGGGATAAGCCAGGCATGTAATAATGCATGAAACACAACATTCACATCAACTTGCTCCAAGACATGCTGAGTATCAGGGAATCGGGGAAGTGCTTGTCTGTCTGGAGTTGTCAGATAGAAAATATTCAGCATTCATGGCTTACACAGACCCTCGAATGCCATTGGATTTTGGCATCTCACCTGACAGTTTAAAAATAAAAACATGGTTCAAAAATAAAACAATCATAGGAAGGCAAACTGTTCAAGCCAGGGATTAAACCTCTAGCTTAGAAGTCTGCAAAATTAATTGTTGACTGAAAATATCTCTATACATATTCATGTATCATTTAACAGTGATTCCCCCCCCAATTTTATTCATTTTTTATTTTATATGTTCAGGCAGACATTAGATAATAAAACATATCTCCTAATTTCAGTGTTGTCAAGCAATTTACCACAACAGGGAGCTTTATGGCACCATTCATCACATACAGAGTCATTAAATACAACATCAGGATGTGCTTTTTTTCAGATCCATGAGGAGAGATTTAACCATGTCATTCCTGCACATGTACCAAGCGCCTCGACCAGTCCTACTACTGGTCCTGCTACTCCCACTAGTCTTGATATCCTTTACTTAAAATAGCTTACATTTAATGATCTTCTCTGAAAACAGAAATTACAAAGTGATCATAAGCAAATTAAGACTGTTTGCCAAGCAAAGAAAAAAAGGAAATATCTTCCAAAAAGTTGTTTTATAAAAAAAAAAAGAGATCCTTATCCAGTACGGAGCCCCAGGAATAGAAAACCCTGAAATACTCCCTTAAACACGGAACAGGACGAGGTATCTCAACCTCTCTGCACGAACACAGCCACCATTGCTACCTTTACTCCTTGTATGATGGACATTAAATTGTACATTGAAAGCACTGCCGTACTTGCCAGAAGAGTTATTTGCTCTCTTTCTTAAGCAGAAATGAAAAATAGAAAGTGCTGAAGAAGAGCCCAGGACTTTTTACACAAAGGTCTTTTGGAACAACACTTTCTCTCTTGGAAAATGTGTACATAAAAATTTAAGTCTGCAAAAAAATCATAATTAGCTAAGACCAAAAAAACCCAACAACAAATGAAAGCAGAAATGAACAAAAGACTGAGGAGAAAAAACACAAATTGCTATACTTTAATGAATGTAAGCAAGAGAAAATCAGAATCAGGTGATTAGAGGCAGGCACCTCCTGAGAAAGAGGTACAAAGGCAAGGCAAAGTTCTCTTACATATAAATGACCATCGATACCCAAAATTAATTTAACTTTGCATTTTGCCATTCTCTCTCCTCTTTGTAAGGAAGTTGCAGAGCACACAAATTCAGCACTCTTCCTTCACCAGACCTAATTTCCTGAATACTAATTTCTTTTCTGACGGTTGTATACATGACTGCAGAGAATTAAAAAGATTTTTGGACCAAAGAAAGTCTTTGGATTGCCGTAATTTATTGTATTTTTACAACATTAAATGTATTTAGAGGAAGAGAGAGCATGTGTGCAAATGCTCACCACTCCCTCATGCTGGTGATGCAAATAAAACTTTCTTCTGCTTTGTGGCAGTCCTTTTTGGCAAGCAAATGCAAGTTTCCCATCAAAGGATTTGTATCAGAAATCAAGTTTGCACCTTCAGTCTTCACTGCTGCCTAACAGTGTGGAGCAGTTTAAAAAAAATTATACCTAACTGGGGACATCTAAGAGCCTTTTGCCGAGGCTGCTCTTTATGTAACTAGAAAGACATAGAAAGTCTTAAAACACCATGCAAGCTCTTGAAGATGAAATCCACTGAGTGTCACCTCCATTTGGATACTACCTCTACTCCATCATAAATCACCTCTCCAGAACACCCATGAAATGTCTCCCTCGGCCGCTGTTCAGCTTCTCCTGCACCACTTTCTCAGCACACTTTCTTTTTCAGTTTCCAGACAGCCTCTCGTTCCACCTATAAATTCTCCCTTCAAAGCCAGCTTTCTTCTGTAAAGCTTTCCAGTGAGAACTTTACAGGTTTTTACACGCGCTCACATCCTCATAAGGTTGGTGTGCAATACAGTCCCAGAGATAAATCCTTCTAACTGCTGCAGAGGGTCTTTCACGTGGTGAGCTTAATTCCACTAAAAAACCCTGCATTCCATAAAGACGCTATTTTAAAGATCTGTAAGAATGACTTTTCTATGTGTGTAACAGCGTGTAGCCTGCTGCCATTAATGTGATTAAATATGACAGTTACTTATTTCCGCATTGCACATTCCCTCCCACTTTATCATCATTCTTTGCTATCAAATTTCATATTTAAAGTGCTACTAAGTTTTGAAGCTAACTAACAGCCAAAGAAAAACAAAATAACAAAGCATACAGTAAAGGAAAGCTAATACATGGCTGGAGATATTTTCTACGTTTGTCAGGTACCAAGGAGCTCCAGTTCAATTAAACGTGGGTTTCCTACTCACGGAGAAAAGTTTCCATCCTTTAATCTCCCCTGTTTAGGGTACAAACACCTACTCTATCAAGCCACAATGAAATTTCAGGCCTTGCCTCCCTTGAGTACATCAGCGCTGAAGGACATCACTGCAGGCTGCACTTCGCCCCAGCAGAATCTGTTTACCTGAAAAGCCGGCAGCCAGGCGATGAAAACGCCAACATAAAAATGCAGCAGCTCCCTCAACATATTCAAGGCTTGATTCTGTGCAACACAATGCGGGGTAGAAAAAGGCACGGGTCAAGTTAAGGCAAAGGTTGAATTGCATCACCTTTCCTCTTACATATACTGTAATTCATACCCGTTTGGACTTATGTCAAGCCAAGTCTATACACGAACTCTCCAGAAATAGCAAGTGAATCATCTGTAGGCATGAGGTCCATGTGTGTAGGACGACGAAGTTACAGCAAAGTTTTCATTTGAAAGAGCATACCTACCCGAGGATTAACCTACTGATTTATATTCATCAACTTTACACCCGCCTAGTTAGTTTCCACTTTAATGCTTCTGGATGTCCCCATTTAGACAACTCACTGTAATGAGAAGTGACATTTTAAATCCATTGTATTGCCCTACATGTATGCAACTGTCTTATTTCAGAGTAAAGTTGTAAAAGCTAACCGAACGACTGTTCCTCTTCCTGCAGCCAGCCTCGTGCCTACTGAGAGACAGAGAGAGTAGAACTGTTTACACAGGAAAATCCATTGGTTTTATCCTTTAACATAACTGTCCTCGCAGCAAAATACCCTGGAAGATGAATATTCACTCATGCTCCCTGTTCCCCATGTGGCATAATTTTTGTTTTGCTCTGTTAATATACATGCATTAATGCTCTTCCAAAAACCGTGGATGTTACGATGTTTAAAAGTCTTTCCTCCTGGAGCATCCCTTATAAACAAACATAGGAAGTACAGGTGCACCTGGGCCTGATTTGAAATCCAGGGAGCACAAAGCAGACTTCGAACACGACTCACAGGCAGAATTTGGTTGACTCTAAATTGGGAAATGGATTTGCATCTTCTTAAAGGACAGAGCAAAGACAGCAGGGTCTCGAGGATACCCCTGTAAGAGTTTCAATGGTATCATCTGAGATAGCTGAAATAATCTGTAAATAACATTTATGGTAACTGATCAAAGCGTTAAACAGCATACTTTACATATGGCTTGATATGTAATCTGAAACGTTCATTTTTCACATTCAAAATGGCTGCCAAACTTCCTGAACCTGATAAACAATTATGATGCATTAGGTTCTGTTAGGTTCATTTATTACTGGAATATGTATGCCTAACTAGCACAAGTAGATATGACTGACTTCATAAATTAGGTTTATGGTATCCTAATCTTTTCAGTGGTAGCGTTTTAGGATACACAAAGAAAGCCTTAAAGATGGCCCTGTGAACACTCCACACTTTAACGACGTACGGATAACGCAGAGTGCTGTAAACGTTATGTCAAGGTATCGTTCAAATTTGTCGTTCCACAGCTAGAGACAAGTTTGTGAGTCGCCACTCTGAATTCTGCACACACCCACAAAGAACTGATGAGTGTATTAAATCCTGGAGCGGGCAGGCTCCAGGCTTCGTCTACCTGCAAATTCACACTATGTCGCTTTGTGCAGCTGACTAGCAAGAGCTGTAGTTCCTAACACAATCATGTGCCAAACGGTGGGTAACGGTAATAAACCAAAGAGCAGCGAAGATTTCCAGGAGCAGGAGACCAGCTGAAGAAGCCATCAGGATCTCTCAGTTATCAATCCACTCTAATAGTAACAGTTTCACCTCGCTAACTTGAAAGACAAAATTAAGCTACATACCTGGTTCACACAAAATTTTGCCAGAAAGAGCAGTGCTCGCTAGCCAAGACCTTACTGATCGTATATACAGGCAGGACTAGCTTGAAAATGCTTCGAGTTCATGTGGTCTTCCCACTGTCCGAGAAAAAGCAGCTCATCTCTAGTAAGCTAGCAGATAAAGACAGTGATTACAGGAGTCTCCTGCAGAGGATAATTTATTGGTTACTCCTCTTGTAGAGCAACAACGAAAACAGGGCGGTAAGTAAGTTATGATATGGCACATTCAGAAGTCGTGTTCCAAAGCTCGGTAGTTTTACAGGGCACAATTCTGTACGTGTGCATTTATCTTCCCGAACAGGGGTTAACAAGAACAAAACATCTCATCTCTCCTCTCCAAAGTGGCTTTGGAAGCTCCCTTCTGCTCTCACTCCAAGAATAATCCCCACATCAAACTCTGGCAGATCTGTGCTTGGAGCAAAGCCGCAGGCGTTTTAAAGACTCATTTAATGTTTGTCTGGAGCTCCACAATTTCAAGCCTACTGTGAACCTGTCTGGAAGGCGCATGGGACCTGCCACGTTCCCCGCACAGAGATCCAAAAAGCAAAGGCTAGCGACTGCGGAGAGGACTTTAATTAGAGCAGAGTGGCCC